AGGTTGTGCTGATAGTGATGTCGCGTGTCGTGCCAGGTGCGCACATGTTCCTAACCCTTCAAATCAAGATGTTAACGCGACCAATTCCTGTATAGCTGCTTGTCCAAGTAAATAAAATTATCTTGGTTCTATTTTATATATATATTATATATATATATATATATGTATTTCTAACTTCTATAACTTCTATAACTTCTAATAAATGCAATTTTTTTATAGATAACACCACTGAAGCATACCAAACATGCAGAGATAACTGTATTTTACAATATTATTCTCAACCAACTAGTTATCCACAAAGTGCTGTTGCTGTAGCTCCTACACCAACTAACCCAAGCGCACCGTCGGGTACGAACGCAAACATGTCGTCAACCGGAAAACCAACATCAACACCTAATCCTATATCTGCTGCGAGTCAATTTAAATCAAATCTTTATTTTGCTCTTTTCCTCGCTATTTTAGCTGCTGCTATTTTATGAAAAAAAATATAACATGATTCTACTCATAATCTACTCATATGATTCTACTCATATAATCTACTCATATGATTCTACTCATATGATTCTACTCATATTAGATGTTTATGCAGGTGTTTTTCAGTCTGGCAATTTCAATGATTATTAAACAAAAAAAAAGGCTTGCCTTAATATATAGTTGTAATAATATATTTCGTAATATATCTTTGTAATACATACCTTCGTAATACTTTCACTGTCTCCCAAACCTAAATACTAATAATTTTATTTACCGTAGATAAACTTTTAACAATGTATCACTTAACGATAAGGTTATTTCTTATCTCTGAAACTCTTTTAGACCAATCAATTCAATAAAAATCTAATATTACATTACGTACACAAAAATCAAGTTTTTTATCACATGATATATAAAGTGAATTACTTCATTCCTTCAAGGGCCGAGTTACATTAATTCGATCAATTCATTGAACTCAGACATCCTCATGAAAAATAAACGTCATAGTCACATAAAAAGATGACATTATAGATTACAAATCTTTCTTTAACTGCATAATCATATGATTCTTTAACATTATATAAGAGGAACATTTTCAATAAGTGACTTTCTTGTTAAAGAAACAATTTCACTTTTTTACCATACTTTGATTTGTTTTTGAAATATTTAAAAGTTTTATAAAAGTGAAAAGATATGGGTACATTTACAGATAAGGTTGGTTTTGAAAATAAATACCTTGAGGGTAAGTTTTTAAAATAACAATGTATTCAAAGAAATATCGTGTAAAATTTTAAATTGAATGAATTTATTTGAATTTATTTGAATTTATCACATTTATTACGTTTCTCACATTTCAATATATATTTAGGAACTTATGTTGCAGTTTTCGTGCACTTGATTATTTGGTTGACATTATTGTTGTTTTCCGAATTTATTCGTAAAAGACATATTCTTCCGTCTCCTAATGTTATAAGGTTTGAACCAAGCGTAAGCGTCGAACCTATGGCGCCACAAGATTTTGCGACTACGGAACAAATGGTAATCTAATACTGTAATGACTAATGTTAATCTAAGTATAATACGTAGTTGGTATACAATTGACACGTGATTTGGGTGATTTGGTTAAAGGATAATCGCTATGCAAAAGCGACAAGAGTTGCAAGAGATTCTCTGTTGATGCTTGTTATCGCGACTATTGTAAGTCTCGCATAATTTTTGTTTTATTAGAATATTAGAATATTATAATCCTTCTATATAATCCTTCTATATAATCCTTTTTTATAATCCTTTGTTTCTAGATGACTCAAACGGGTTATGGCGCGACCGTGGTAAGCATATTTCTAGTGTTGCAGTCTAAACCGCTTTGGCCATTACATATTACGTGTTGTTGCGATCCAAAACTAGAATATACATATTACATGTTGTTGCGATCTAAACTAGAATATTTCGCCCTAGCGAAATTATTTCACCTAACGAAATTATTTCACTCTGGCGAAATGCAACACTACATATGAACGATAATATGAACGATACGTTCGCTATTTATACTCATCTATT